TCAGCCAACCTGCTGAGGACACACTATGTCCCCTCATCTGGGTCACTGATGAAAAAGTTGGACATGAATTCAACTGCTGTGGTAGCTGAGGAAAAGAAAAGTGGTGAGGGTGAGAATGGAGCTACACGAACCAAAATACACTGCACTCTAATTTCAGGATGAATTTCAGTGAGATAATTAAAAAGTTTTTCAAAAGGAGTGAGATTAAAATGTAAAAAAAATAAAAAGCTGTGTGGCTTTTAATCTCTGCTGTGGGACAGAAATAAATGTTTAATGCACAAACATCAGGCACTAGGAGCAGGGAAGCTGTTTTAATCACTGACATCTAAGAAAAAACAGGGTTTTTAAGATTCTGGTCCTTCCAAAAAACAAACAGAGTTGGGAAAAACAGAATGACAACCTTTGCAGCAACCCTGTCCTAATGTGTTTGGCATCAGCTGCTGCAACAATCTGTGTGCATGGGATGTTCTAGAGATTTCCAGCTCATGGGCAATGATCCCTACAAATATTCATTGAACCAGAATTAAAAATAAACAACCCCCTAAAAACCAACTGGGGAAATGATTTCATACATCTGGCTGTGCAACTGTTCCTTTGGTGGGTGCTTTTAGTGAGGAGGCAGTTACACCAGATGTCAGACAATAGTTTCATTGTTTGTTGGGATTTAAATATTTTGCCATTGAGATTGTGATGATGGTCAGGATATATTTTTAGACTTGTAGAATCATGAAGGTTGGAAGGGACTTCAAAGATCACCCAGTTCCAACCCCCCTGTGAGCAGGGAAACACTAGACCAGGTTGCACAAAACCTCATCCAGCCTTCCCTTAAAAACCTCCAGGGATGGGGCATCAACAACCTCCCTGGGCAACCCATCCCAGCTCCTCAGCACCCTGAGAGTGAAGAAATTCTTCCTAATATCTGACATAAATCTCCCCTCTTCTGAGTTTAAAACCATCACCCCTTGTCCTATCACTGCCTTCTCTGGTGAAAATCCCCTCCCCAGCTTTCCTGGAGCCCCCTCAGGCACTGGAAGGTGCTCTAAGGTCTCCCTGATGGAGATGCCATAGCCCAGATGAATGTCACAAAGTCCCAGGATCCCCTTTCTCCATTCAAACAACCCAGAAGAATCTTCTGAGGAGTTCAGTTGTAATTATTTTCTTTCATTATTTCCTTTATCTGCCAGATAGGGTGTTCCTCATCCTTCTGCAGCCCCCAGCACTCACCACGGTGAGATGTTAATTTGTTAATGTATTAAATCATTTCCCCAGTTGGTTTTTAGGGGGTTGTTTACTTACTAAAAAGCAGAACATGGTTCTGTAAAGCAGCACCAGGAGGTTGGGTTGTTTTTAGCTGTATTATAACATATGTACAGAGGTTTTCATAACCTATTAATAATGGCTGTAGATTCTGTTTTATTATTTAGAGTGAAAAAAAAACCCACAAAACCAGCAGCCCTGTATGCAAATAATCTTTCTTTTTTAAGGATGGAAAATGTCCTGTTTGTAACACTGGAAAATGACTGAAATGCCAGTCAAGCCTAAATCACTCTTGACTAAACTTCATGAAATTAATTCTAGACTAAGGGACCAAAATGGGCACCAAACCTGACTCAGGATTTCCTTGTGACTGCTGTGTTTGGCCATCAGTTGGGTGAAAAATGTCATGCACATCCCTGCCTCCTCCCCAGAGCTGCTGATCATTGGGTTGAGCTTTGCTTTACAACACAGGCACCTCTTATTTTCACCTCTTCACAAGAAATGGCTCTGATTTTGGGGTGTGTTTCGTGTTGGTGATTTGCATGCACTGAGTGTTTGCTCCTTTTTCCCCTCATCCAAGTGAACTTTTTCAGTCTTCAGCTACAAAAAGAAGGAGCTTTTAGGCTCAAGAGCTTATTTTTTCCTTGCCCTGTCCATGTGCCATCTGCATCCAGATATAGCTGCAGAAATAAGGAGACTGCAACTGTGTGTTTGTCCCTCTCATAAGGCAACTCCTGCACCTGCAACAACATTTCAGACCAAAATGGAGCAGTGACACGAGTCTGCAGACTAAATGCATTAGTTAATTTAAGCATCACCAGCCTCTTGGGCTGCTTGGAGTCATCTAGTACTTTCTGTTGGTTTACTGGTTGCATTTTTAGCACCAAACACTGGTTTCACTGTAATCCAAGCCCTGAGAGAACAGCAGAATGTTCATCTATGTTTAGCTCAGGTTTTTTGGCTCTTCCTTCATCCCTTGGCCATAGTAAGTGGTTTTGGTTTCCTTCTTTTTTGGAAGAGATTAAATTGAGTCACTGGACATCTTACCACCACCAAGTTAGAGTCCTGAAAACACTTCAGCAAGAGCTTAATTTAGTAAATCGAGTTAGGACCAGACACTTCAGTTCCCCTACCTTCTTCTCTACACTTTGGATTGTTATGTCTAGAGCAGATAAATCTCTGGTTTAGCTCCTTTCTTTGTACCTATTTAAACAGCAGTGGGTTTTTTATTTCTTCCTTGATGTGCCCCTCTAGCCTGGCTTTACCTGAGGATACAGACCTCTCAGGTCACCCTTGCAGTCCTTCTGAAGCACGTGCTCCTCCATCCCAACCAGCCTCCTACTGCTCCTCTGCTTTGAAGTTCCTTCACAGCCTTCTTGAAGTATCAGCAGCTTGGTCTGTTCTAGATCAGGGTTAGCTCCTCCCTGTGAGAGCAGCTCCATTTATTCAGGAAGCATTCCAGGTTCTGATGGGTTTAAAACCTTTCTCCTTGCACTGTCTTCTCAGCCAAGTCTTCACACTCTGCATTTGCACTGCTCTTGTGCAGATTAGAAGTCCCTGTTTTCACCTTCTTCCCCAGGAGACCAAATGGTGTCTTCTCCATTTCCCTGTATTTCTGGTATCCCCACAGCCCACAGCTCCAAAGTTTCTCCCCAACTCTTTTTATTACCCCGTCTTTATATTATTTTTAAACCTTGAAGCAGGGGTGAGGCCTGCTTGAATACAATACTGCTTTATGAATAATTAATATAACCACTGATCCAATAACTATTCACTTCTTTTTTAGTGTGCCCTCAGGAGTAGCCACAACGTTTGCATTCATGTTTTTTCTGGGCAAGTGCTTTTGATAAATAGATTCAAAGCCAAAACCACACTTGGAATAAGGCAGAAGGTTATCAAGCAACTGCAGAGAAATCTGTAGTCTTCATGAAAACAAGGTGCAGGAGCAGTGGGAACACTGAGAATTTGCTAAGAGGTGGTTTTAGAGGGGGGAGGCAGCATCAAAAGATTGGGCTCAGATTTGAATCTCTTAAGACTCCTGGAAGCCATGGAAGAAGCTGGACAAAAATGTTCACTCCTATAAGCTGGGAGAAAACTGAAGTCAGATGTTACCTGAAGGACTGGATGTGCCTAAATAAACCCATGTGTTTGTCCTCTTTGTGTTTTGCAATGAGCCAGAGGAGCAGTTTAATGTAGATAATTGAGGAGGTCAAACAGTAGCAAAGACAGACGAGTGCATGAAGCCACCTCAATAAAAGCAGGGAAAACCAACTTGGTGTTAAGCTGAGGGGATGGGTGGAGAGGCCTGCACCTCTGCTCTGGGTGAGCTTCATGCTTGTGTTTGTTTCTGGTTTTGAGATAAAATACCTTGACAGAATCAGAGTAGTCGTGGTTGGAAAGGTCCTCTGAGATCACTCACTGACTCCAACCATAAAAACAAACAAACAAACAAAACCCACCACACACAAAGCACCACAAAACCACACCCCAAAAACCACCCATAACACACAACCTAAAATCTCCATCACTAGAGCAGGTCCTGGAGATCCTCATCTACACGTTCCTTGAATACATCCAGGATGGTGACTCCCCCACCTCCCTGGGCAGCTGTTCCAGGGCCTGACCACTCTTTCAGTACAGAAATTCTTCCCAATATCCAATCTGAACCTCCCCTGGCACAATTTCAGGCCATTTCCTCTGGTCCTATCATTATTCCCTCAGGAGAAGAGCCCAACACCCACCTCCCTACAATCTCCTTTCAGGGAGTTGTAGAGAGCAATGAGGTCTCCCCTCAGCCTCTTCTTCTTCAGATTAAACATCAACAGTTCCCTCAGCTGTTCCTGGTAGGACTTGTTCTCTAAACCCTGCACCAGCTTGGAGGATCTTCTCAAGACACGTTCCAGGAACTCAGACATCTTATACTGGACTGTCAAAGCCTCTTGGGATTTTATTTTGGTCACTGTGATCAACACAAGGATGCTAACTCCACTCCATCCTTCTTTTGATGACATTTGGTGTGTGCCTTCACATGTTGTGCTCTGGAGCCCCCAACACAAGTAGGACATGGAGCTCTTGGAGCAAGTCCAGAGGAGGCCCCAGAGATGCTGGGAGGGCTGGAGCAGCTCTGCTCTGGAGCCAGGCTGGGAGAGTTGGGGTGTTCAGCCTGGAGAAGAGAAGGCTCCAGGGAGACCTGAGAGCAGCTTCCAGTGCCTGAAGGGGCTCCAGGAAAGCTGGGGAGGGGCTTTTTGTCAAAGGCAGGAAGTGACAGGACAAAGGGGAATGGTTTTAAGCTGCAAGAGGAGAGATTTAGGTTGGACATTAGGAAGAAATTATTTCCCACGAGGGTGGGGAGAGCCTGGCCCAGGTTGCCCAGGGAAGCTGTGGCTGCCCCATCCCTGGCCGTGTTGAAGGGCAGGTTGGATGGGGCAGGGAGATTAGAAGGGACCATCTAGTCCCACCCCCCCTGCCATGAGCAGGGAACCCTACCAGTAGACCAGGTTACACAAAACCCTGTCCAACCTGCCCCTAAAAGCCTCCAGGGCTGGGGCAGGGTTGGCTTTCCACAACAAGGAGCCATCACCAGGTTCCTCAGAGCGTTGTTTTGGTCAAACCTTTCTTGGTTTGTATGAAAGAAGCTCCCAGGCTGGTAGATGTACTCCAGAGTTATCCTATAAGTAAATATCATCATATCTACAGAGGAAGCCTTGGGTCTGTGTCATGACTCCTCTTGTTTTCTCTTCCAGAGCCGACAGCTGGAATCGGAGACCGGGACGACGGAAGAGCACAGCCTGAACAAGGAGGCTCGGAAATGGGCCACCCGGGTGGCCCGGGAGCACAAAAACATCATCCACAGCCAGAGGGTAGGTTTAGAAAGCTGTCATTGGCACAGTTTTACAATTGACACAGTCCCCACGGCCTCAAAGAGGAGCTGCTGAACACTGGTTTGGTTTTTTTTTGGCCTGTTACCCCTCTGGGCAACGTGTCATTTTCATCTTGGCAGTGCTCTCGGACTGCCAGGTTAGCAGCTCCTCAAGCTTTGAGGTTGGTCAATACATTTTGCTGTTCCCATATATCATTCTAAGCTACATCTTCTGCTCTACTGCAAATAACTGACAGACCTTCCTCTATCCTACACAGATTCCTTCTGTTCCAGCTACAACTTCAGGGGCCCTCTTGTCTCCACTATATCATGTCTATATTGCCCAGAGAAGAAAAAATCACAGAATCATTGAATGGTTTGGGTTGGAAGGGACCTTAAAGATCAAGTTCCAACCTCCTGCCATGGGCAGGGACACTTCCCACCAGCCCAGGTTGCTCCAAGCCCCATCCAACCTGCCCTTCAGCACTGCCAGGGATGGGAATATGACAGGAAAACATCTTCTCAGAGGAAGGTGGTGTCCTGGACACTGCTCCTAGCACCTGATGCTTCCTGCTCTTTCTCCAAATACTATTTAACACATTTGATGCATATTTCTTGCATAAACATTTCCTAAACCAGGCATGGATTTGCAGACAACAGGTGATCATTTGAGCCATCACATGCTTCAGGTCCTTTTGATTGGGATCTGCACAGTCAACATGCACGTAGGTGGAGCTAAGGAGCTCCAACACATCTTATGTGATTCAGCACATTCTCCTTGGGACACAAGTCCCCTGCAAATGCAGCAAACCTGCCTGGGCTTCCCCTACAGCAGAGCTACCATTAGAATCATAGAACCATTTAGGTTGGAAAGGACCTTTAAGATCATCTACTCCAACTGTAACCTAACACTGCCAAATCTACAACTAAACAATGTCCCCAAGTGCCAGGTCTTCACTCTTCTCAATCCCTCCAGGGCTGGTGACTCAACCACCTCCCTGAGCAGCCTGTGCCAGTGCTTGACAACCCTTTAGTGAATAAACTGTTCCTAGTGTCCAATCTAAACCTCCCCTGGTGCAACTTGACCCCATTTCCTCTTGTCTATCTTCCATATAGTCACAAATGGTATTCACAACTTCTTTTTCACCCTGACATAAATGTGCAGCAACAATCCCATTTTAAATATGTAAATCCCAACCTGTAGATGAGTTACTTCATGCCACAATATCACGTTTCCATGAAGATGTTGAAACATTCCCACAAGTGGAATTTCCATCTGCAATCCTGTGCTTTTTCATGATGTTTGGGCTTGGTCATTGTATTTTTTTCCTGGAAAGGGTTATTGTCGGTCAACCCAGCATCTAATCAAACAGTAATTTCTCTGTCTTGTCATAAATATTTATCATGTGAATGGCCTGCTAGCATTGACTCCATCTGTGGGGTATTTCCTATTTTTTCTCTGACAGACACTTGAAGAGCTGGAATGCCATGGGCCTGGGATGTCTGAGCAAACCCGAGCAGAGCTAGAGCAGAAAATAGATGAAGCCAGAGAGAGTATCCGCAAGGCTGAGGTAAGAAGGGAATTATTTGGGCATGTTCAGCTTCTCACCTCAGAAGGATTCAGCTTGTTTGTGGAAAGGTAAGCTTTTAGCATAAAAAAAAACCCAGGGAATTTCAAGTTGTCAGGTTTTCCCTTGATTTTGTGCTTCTCAAATCACAGAATCTCAGGGGTTGGAAGGGACCTTGGAAGATCATCCAGCCCAACCCCCCTCACAGAGCAGAGCAAATCACTGAATCAACTTCATGAAAGACTTGAAATGAGAAGAGTAATACTGGAAAAACCTCCTGGTAGAGAGTGATTAAACTTGGTGCCTTTTCTGCTGTTGTGCAGAGGTCAAGAATCCCTGTATTTAGGGGCTTCATCTTACACAGAGAACAAACAAGCTCAAGTTCACTAGTTTCCTTCTGCTTGAAGGAGCTAATACCAGAAAATGATGATCATACCATAGATCATAGAGTCACAGAATGGTGAAGGCTGGAAGGGATCTTAAAGACCATCAGGTTCCAACCCCCCTGCCATGAGCAGGGACACCTCCCACCAGCCCAGGCTGCACAAGCCCCATCCAACCTGCCCTTGAACATCTCCGAGGGGCCAGCCACAGCTTCCCTGGGCAACCTGTTCCAGTGCCTTCCTGCCCTCATGGGGAAGAATTTCTTCCTGGTGTCTGACCTAAATCTCCTCTCTTTCAGTTTCAAACCATCACCCCTTGGCCTGTCACTGCCCTCTCTGGTGAAAAGCCCCTCCTCAGCTTTTCTGGAGCCCCTGCAGGCACTGGAAGCTGCTCTCAGGTCTTCTTGGAGCATAATCCAAGTAAATCAGTGGAAAGTGACCAAAGAGATAACATGTTTTCTTGGGGGAGGGAGAAAAATTTGTCAGGAGTATTTATTAAAATCTGGGAAGTTAGAACCTTGGAAGTTTGTGCTGCAGCAGTGATGGCTGAGCAGGATCTGCAATAGGAATGAGGCCATGATCCTACATGGATGGAGCAGGGAGCACAAAGGCAGGGGTAGCACCCCAGGCACTTCTGTGCAGATGCAACAAAGATGAAATTAAAGAGCACACAAGGACTTAAGGCTGACTTTGTTGAGAGAATTAGCTGGAAGAACTTGAGACAAAATTGCAACTCCCCTTGGCCACAGCATATGAATGAGGGGAGAAGGAAAGTGGAAGGTGTATATATATACATATTTTATATATATATATATAAGAGATGTGAGGTCTGAAGTCAAGCCTGCAGTGTGCTGCAGGAGGCAGCAGGCCTTTCCAAAAGCAGCAGGAGGGATGTAGCTCCACTGGGAAACAGATTGGGCAAGAAGTGCACAGCCAGGAATGTGATTCAGAAAACCAATGAAGGGGGGAAAAATACCCTGTAGTTCTCATATCTAATGAGGAGCAAATGCAGAGTCATCAATGTGCATAAACGTGTCCCTCAGCTGCTTCTGTATAATCATAGAGTGAAACCAACCATGACATGGAAAGCTGCTCTTTATTCTGTGTCAAGCAGGTAGGACCAGAGTGCATCTAGAGGACAGCACAGGCTGCAGGGCATGAATGCCATAACCTTGAGATAAAGTCCTCAGGTCATAGAATCATGGAATGCTTTGAGTTGGAAGGGACCTTAAAGATCATCTAGTTCCAACCCCCTGCATGGGCAGGGACACCTCCCAGCAGCCCAGGCTGCACAAGCCTCATCCAACCTGCCCTTCAACACCTCCAGGGAGGGGGCAGCCACAGCCTCCCTGGGCAACCTGTTCCAGTGCCTTCCTACCCTCATGGGGAAGAATTTCTTCCTGATGTCTGACCTCAGTCTCCCCTCTTTCAGTTTCAAACCATCTCCCCTTGTCCTGTCATTGCCCTCTCTGGTGAAATAGCTGGTGGTTTATGGTGGTTAGTTCAGCCAGATCTGTTTTCCCTTTATGTTTAAACCATTGGAGGCAAAAGTTGACTTTCTCCACTGATCTGTGTTGCAGAAATCAGGCAAAACAGAAGTTGAAGCTATTTCCTTGGTTTCTATGATCCTTCTTTCAGGCTGCATCCTGGACCCTGAGGTTGGGTTCCTTGAATTCTTCTTCCTCTCATCTCTTTTTGTCCCTATCAGACTCAAGGCTCTGATGCTTTGGCAGCCCAGTGTGAGTCTCACCAAGCAGCACAGTTGGTCCCAGGGCTGAAATAGTTTCTCTCAATGATAATGGGAGATTGCCCATTTGTGCTCAGGTCTGTGCTTAAGGAAAATCTTGGGGCCTCCACAGCAATTAATCCTATCTCCACTTAATTAGAGGGGGATGTGTTTTGTCTCATCATTAAGATATCTTGCAGCTCTCAGGAGAGTATTTGTACCAGATAAGATTTGATTATGACTCATTATGGTGCTGTTTACTTAATTTGATTAGTTCAGAAGCTTAGGTCCATTTTTAATTGTAAATGGAGGGCTGTTTTCTCCCTCCCCTCATATTTAGCAATGAATATTTATTTCTGTGCTGTAGTAACAGTGTGTTTGTTGGCTGGGCTCCTGTTCTATCTTAGGATCTAATGGTTCTGCTGCATCTCAAGGAGACCCAGCTTTGCTTCAACCTCTTGTTATTGAGGCCCCATCCCTGGCAGTGTTGAAGGGCAGGTTGGATGGGGCTTGGAGCAGCCTGGGCTGCTGGGAGGTGTCCCTGCCCATGCAGGGGGTTGGGTCTAGATGATCTTTAAGGTCCCTTTCCAACCCAAACCAGTCTGGGATTCTATGATCTGTGTGTTCTTGCAGTTGAACCTTGTAGTTGCAGGAGTGGTGTCATTCTCTGCCCATAGGAGGTGTAAGCATTTCCATATGCTTCTCTAAAAGAAATGGAATTGATTAAGGCCACCAGCCCCCTCCAAAAAAGTTCAATTTGTAAAATGTTACTTGCTGCCATCTATGGCTTTGCTCAGGAAACATATGTCTGGGGGAACTGTGCTGAGCAACCAGATTGTCTTCCCAGGATGAGGTCTGTAGAGAGTCCTTCTGGTTAGGCAGAGTGAAGAGTAGCCTGGAAAAATGCCACCAATATCCACAGCTTGGGCATCTGAGGCTCTTTTGGTGAAGAGCTGGTGAGGGCAGAGCTGAGAGTGTTGTTGTTGAGAAGATCAGCAGGGCCCTGAAGCTGGTTTATGGTGTTATGAAGATGTAGAAGCTGAAGTCCCTCATCACCTGTGTCTGAGCCTTTATTGTTTCTGTTGTGGTGTTGCAAACTGCCAAATCTGAGAGTTTTTATCTTGAATTGATGCTTTATCATCATTACTTTTCAGGGACTGACTGTAAGTGGGAGAGGAGGTCTCAGATCCTACTGAAATGCTTCACAGTGTATTGTTTTACAAACTTGCCTGTTCTGGTGTGAACAATGAGGAATCCTTCAGAAGTCTGGGTTGTGTGTATTCACCATAATTCTGAAGGGTATTTTTTTCATTAGAGGACATTTAACAGAGGAATGTATATTATGGGATGAAGGGGGAGGGGCAAACAGAGAGGGGTTTTGAAGCTAATGATGAAATATAATTATAAATATTCCCAGAGGGATATAATCAACTGAAGAACCATATTTTCTCCATATATAAAGAAATACATACAGCTCTGCACACAGCTCTGGAGCCCTCAGCACAGGAGAGACATGGAGCTGTTGGAGAGGGGCCAGAGAAGGGCCCTGGAGATGCTGGGAGGGCTGGAGCAGCTCTGGAGCCAGGCTGGGAGAGTTGGGGTGTTCAGCCTGGAGAAGAGAAGGCTCCAGGGAGAGCTGAGAGCAGCTTCCAGTGCCTGAAGGGGCTCCAGGGAAGCTGGGGAGGGGCTTTTCATCAGAGAGGGCAGTGACAGGACAAGGGGTGATGGGTTTAAACTGGAAGAGAGGAGATTGAGGTCAGACATCAGGAAGAAATTCTTCCCCATGAGGGCAGGAAGGCACTGGAACAGGTTGTCCAGAGAAGCTGTGGCTGCCCCATCCCTGGAGGTGTTGAAGGGCAGGTTGGAAGGTGGCTTGGAGCAGCCTGGGCTGCTGGGAGGTGTCCCTGCCCATGGCAAGGGGGTTGGAACCTGATGATCTGAAAGTCCCTTCCAACCCAAACCATTCTATGGCTCATCTATCTGTCTGTCCATCTTGTATTCTTATACAAACAAATTGGTCAGTCCTTTTGCAAACATTCTGCAATTAATAATCATCTTGACTATAAATGTTGCTGAGATGAAGAAGAATTGCTGTGGGACCCCAGACAGTCAATTTTCTCTCAGATCTTTTTGGTAAAGGGATCAGGCATTGGCCTGGCCTACAAGAACATCAGTGTTGCTTGTTTTGTAGATTTTTCTTCTTGTCTTTTGTCTTATTATTATTCAGTTATTTGGAAAGGTGGATCACACCAAAAAGCCAGCTCAGTTCCTTTAAGCCATGGTTTGCATGTGGTCTCATTTCACAGAGTCATTCAGGATAAGGGGGTGTCCTTAGTCCAGCTTCTGCTTAAATCTGAACCTTTTGACTCTAACATGGATACAATATCTATCACTGTATTAGGAACCAATATCCATTACCAGGGCTGCAGAGAAATCTGTGAATAATGTTTTCCATACACCCATTTTCTAGCCATTCATTTTCTACCTGCAGAATGTGGGTAATTTCCATTCAGTCCCATCAGTCCCATTGCCAGCAGCCTGGGAACAGCTCATTGAACCCTACAAAAGTCTTCACTACTATTTTTCTGCTTCTCTACTGCTCTCATCTACTCCCCATCTCCTTCCTCACCATCTGCTTTCCCTGCTAGGAGACTTTAATGTTTTGAGATGCTTGAGCTTGGGAGAAACCAGCCTTCCAGTTGGGCTGGAGCTAAGCAGGTGGGCTTGTCTCTCTTCAAAGCTTCACCTCTTGTTTTCTTAACCTTGGCACTCACTCTTGAGACGTGTTATCTGTGTCAGTGTTTCATTTCCTGTTTGCTTCACCCTCACACTCTCTTTTGATTTAACTCCATGCAGAATATTTAGCATATAAATTAACTAACTCTGCTGCAATA